TTGTAGCGCTTCTGAAGATGACTTTTTACTCGAAACTTGTCAAGTTAATTTTTATAAATAAACTAATAGAAAGTACAAAATTCAATTTATTAAAAATTTTATTAAAATTTGTATACAGAGGCGGCAAGAAAAAGTTTATACACGTCGGAGGAAGGCAGGAAAGAGACTGAAAAGGAAAAAATTGTCTAGAAAAAGTATGATAGAGATTGGAATGACAAGAAGTCACTGGTAACAGAAGAAAGATGCTGGACAAAAATTGGAAAGAGAACTAAACTATGAAAGAGGGAGTCTGGAATGTGACTGGTAATTCCAGACTCCCTCTCAGGAAATGGTAAGAATAAAAAATTACTAGAGAGAGAATAAGAAGACTGGAGGACGGTGTAAAAGGTCTCATTAATTACTATATTATAAGTCGTGTGTTAACAGTTCCATGGCATATCCGTAAACTGTAATGTAAGTATACGCTTTGTCCTTCATGCCATAATCAGCAGAGACCACTACGGTATAAATCGAAGATGGTCGGCAGACTGCCACCGCGGCGGCTGCAAATCGCAAGTTAATAAGTGTCTCCGAGCCAAGCCTAGAATTAATTTTACAGAGATTCATACAAACCAGTATTGTCATCTGAAGTTTGCCAAGTCAAACTTTCAATGACTTTCAATCAAAGTTTTTTCAATTGAGAATGAAAAGTTATGTAAACAAGGTTGTTTTTATAATATATTGTCGAAGCATTAATGAAGAGGTTAAAAAGGTACCCAAAAGAATTATTTTATTTTGATGTTTTTTGTCATCTGGCAGATGAGAATAAACCTACTTGTTAGCATTTGTTAACTAATGTAGGTTCTAATAGTGTAGTGGTGCTAAGAATGTAGACCACTGCGTGCACGGCTGTGGCCTGTTGATTCTGGTGGGATCCTTTAATCCACGGTCCTTTTTTGGTGTTATCGTGGCGCCTCCAAAATGGAAATTGGGGCACTGCGTTAGTTAAAGTGATGATGTTCGGAAAATCTTAAAAAGAAAATGGAAAAATATTTTAATAGTGAAACGTGGTCGCAAGGATACTAAACACTGCTGAGATTCATCTAATGGAACGATGCAAAGGTGCCTTACGAGATTGAGGGTCTAAATATCTACCAAACAAATAACGGAGAGTCGAATATCAACTTCATGCTATTTAATGGTGCTGGAGGCTTTTGGTTGCATCACAGATGCTTGGATCTTGAAACAAAAAAAATCATATTAATAAAGTGAATTAACATGAAAAAAATTATCTGCTTTAAGAGAAACAAAATGTTTTCAAAAAATGTGGACAGAGGGATGACATATTTAATGGAAAAGATAAGTGGAGTTATTGACAATGGTTAAGTAAGGAAAAGTTAACATAGAATGTTAGACCCGCGTTAGAAATAGGAAGGATGAATACGGTTGAAGGGAATACCAGATAACAGGAAGGATTGATTTGAGTGAAAATAGACTGACAATGAGTAAAATTAAAAATAATTACAATTGCCTTATCAGAAAAATTAAAATGAAAAATGTGCAGGAATTTTTTCAGGTATTATTTTTAGTATCGTACTTTTAATATCGTGATTGGGTTTTAGATAGATAAAATGTTTTAGCAACCTTGCATACATACATAATCTTATATAAGAGTAACATGTAACGTAAATCTACAATTAAGATCGTAAGTGTAACTGCTAACTCTAGGGCAATCAATGTCACCGCTATTGCTTTACTCTCACTGAATCCTTCGCAATTTTGTTACATATTTAATACAACAACTGTAATTTAATGCTCACTTAACCATGTGGTACAATAAAGTGAAAAAACTATCTTGAATTTAATATTATAGAAATTCATTATAGAGAAGGATGCATACGTGTTTCACTCTAGTTAATAGTCTTGCGGCGAGTGTCTTGGGTAGTTGGCAGGTGGTTGAAAATATACCCTCTGCCCATAGATCGATCCTAAGTGTTGATTGTTGTGTGGTGGACTCTGAAATAAGAAAAACAAGTGATGTTAATAAAACGATTGGTTGTGAATGTGATATTTTAACATGAAATAAATTCTATTATTATAGGATAAACAAAATGTTGCCAATAATTACTTATGATTAAGATTGCATGTGTAGCTATAAATTGTAGAACTCAAGAGCGTATCATATTTTGAGCATGTTATTATATATTTAAGCATATAACTAGTGAAATCAATGACATTCATGGCACACAAAGCAGATTTACGAGACAAATTGAGTATTCATCGGGGTAACCCCATATGGTGTCGAGATGTTGGGACTCAGGACGAGCAACGTGCCATGCCAAGACGGAAGTTAGCCTCACTTCACGTAATGCTGGTATTGACAATAAACAATCCTTGCGTGGATTATTATCTCCTAGCTGTGCAAAAATTTTTAGATTATACTAGCTAAACTCTAAAGGACAACAATATATCTGGTATTTCGTAGAAAAAACTCTAAGCAGCTAATCTGCAAGAAAATCTTTAAAATGACAGTATCCATATTCAAATTAAAAGATAAATATTAGAACAGTCGTGGAACCACAGCTTCTAGACGTGTATTTTGTCGAGAGTTAGATTTCAAGAACTAAAATCTGAACAGAAATACTATGTTTGGAATTGCACTGGGGAAAATCAAAGTTCAAGAAAAAGGTTGCAATTATATAGGTTGCTTATCTTTGTTACAAGAAAAGGTGCGTAATTGCGCTACATCTAGAAGATTAATTGTCGTGCAGTATTTGCTTTTACACTATCATCTCAAATCATACTGTTGTGATGAAATTATTAAATGGAAATATTCTTCTTATAACAGGATTTCCTATTGAAGTTAGAGACGGAACTGCATTGGGCTGCTCAAATTTCTTCTCTAATATCAAAATATTATTTTTTAATTCTTCTGAGTCCTCCATCAAAAGCTTTTGGACACTCGTTTCTGGCTTGCCTTTTTCCATTTTTTCACTACAGGTCAAACGAGTACGTAAACTTTTATATTCTTATAAATACGAAGGGTTATTTCCGAAGAAGGTTGTAACATGACATCTGAAACGTTAAAAACTTTTTCAAAGTCGCAGGGCTTAACCCGAAAGTTTCTAGTTCTAGGCCTAGTGTTAGTTCTAGTGATAGTGCTAGTGTTAGTTCTAATGATAGTGCTAGTGTTAGTTCTAGTTTTAGGTTTTTTTTATTCCTATATTTTACGTTAATGGAAATATCGAGATTATTAAATGTTAGGTAATGCATACTTTACTCTGTATTTAGATCTTCTTTGGGCACCATTCCGTCCCTACAAGTGTCTCTGTACTCTATCTACAAATCTATCATCGAAATCATTTCCTAACAAACACATTTTTAGTAATGCCAGCCAAGTTCAAACGCAATATTGTGATTTTATCGTGATTCTTTTGAAATTATACTTTAGAGTAAATAAAAATTTATTTTCCCTCACTAAGTATACAGCAATACGTGTCAATTTTATTTTTTATCCATATGGTTTTATTATAATATGATCACCCTGCTACTTAGCATAAGTACAACTGAGCAAGGCACGTATTATGCAATATTTAATTAATACATTTATTAATAAGCTATTTATTTTAAGCAATTACCAATACGAATATTAAATTCAAGATAGTTTTTTTTTTGTTAATTTTGAAGTGATTAACCAATATCCTATTGACAAACCAATCATAAAAATAAACGATTCATTAGAATCTTGTCAATCCCAAGAAAATTATTTCCATAAGACGGCCTTGGCCAGTTTAAATAGGAAGAAAGGATTCTCTGTCGACGACAATACATTTCTTCGCCAACTCGGAAAATCAATTGTATAAAGAAGCAAAAGATTAAAGTGTAGAATGTGAAGGTTAGCGATGTGACAATATTATAAATGAGTTCTAACTAACAAGAACTGTGAACTTCTTCATATGCAATCAGAAATTGAATGATTATAAATAAATTAAAAATAAATAAATCCTTAAGACAATTTTAAAGTCAAATCGTCTTCATGCGTTCGATGCTAATTCATACTTTATGAATTTTCTTTCGTAATAATTTCTTGTAGTTTTTCTTTTCGTATGTCGTTTTGAAAATTCTCTTCATTTGCAAACCTGTAAAGAGTATGTCATCAGGTCTTAAGGTGATAAATAAGATAAATAACAGTGTTCTTTTGCGGTTACAACGGTTGCAACATGACCAAGACGACTATTAAAGACTCATTTTACTCTCGGTCGTTGGGTTCAATGATAACCTTTACAAGAATTTCTTTAATAACTAAAAATGTTTTCGCAAAAAATGCTTAATAAGTATGCGACATCGAGAAACCACGGGATAAACTATAATGAATATATGTATTTAGGTATATTCTATTGTAGAGGGTTTAATTTTAAGTAGATAAAAATAAAATTGATCAGATAACGTTTTCACAAAGATTAACTACTTCTTATTATAAAGGTAATGATGTAACTTGATAGTTTCACCGGTAACCTTTAACAAAAAAGTCTTAATAATAAAAAATTCTTATTGAGTTTTTTCTTAATCTTTTACGACTAATAAAAAATAAATTTTTTCAAACATAATAAAAAAATCTCTTTTCTCGTTAAAAACCGAAAATAATACGATTGCACCTCCTATTGCTCCAACTGTTTAAAGACAAGAAAGAGGACATCGGGCCAACGATTTCTTCGTAGCCGTCGCCCCCATCTTAAACGTGGATCGTTTAACTCGCATCGCTGGTTTTCTTTTTAATTTTTTTCCATCTAACTACACAACAAGCAGCACGTCCTCTGCCATTTGCGAATACAACAACAACGGATGGATTTTGTAATGTGAAGAGAAGAGCAGCTTCACACAGTCACATACACAAACAAAACGTACACATACACGTGCATTTCAAACGCGGTTTAAAGTTTAAAAAGCAACTAGGTATAGGAGAGGATAACAAGAAATAATGGGGGGAATATAATAGAAAAAGGATGGAGTGTCACGGAAAGTCGGTATAAATACTCGAATGGAATAACCACTTTTTCAGTCTTCATTGTATCCATTGAATCTTCGAGAAAGAAACAGCAAATTAGTGCCATAAGATGGTTGATAGAACTTTAGTAAGTTATAATACTTTTTACGTGAAAGTTTTTCAATTGAAAATGAAATGTTATTTCTTCTTTTTTATTTTTTTAAAGGTATGCTGCTTAGTTTTATGTTTAGGAATTATCAATGTGACAGGGGCGCCACAGGGTGCCGGTGATAAAGATGCACAAATTGTAAGTCAAACGAACGATGTTAATCCTGATGGTGGATATAAGTGGAGGTGAGAAAAATTGATATTATTTATTTAACTTTTTAAGTTAATAATTTGAAGAATAATTTATAGATTTTAAACTACATTTAAAGTACTTTTTTCAAATAACATTTCCAAACACATACATTTAATAGAAAGTTATGTTGATTATTTTCGAAATTGACTGAAGATTTCATAAAGCAGTTCTTTACATTTGGATTTAAATCACCATTCGATGACGAAAAATTTTTATTAGATTCTTTAATTTCTCGTCTAATAAAATTGGGACACTTTGATCTCAGTTTTCATCTAATCTAGGAAATTCTTGTAATCTTGGACTACATGGTAATCGATTTCTTTTGAGTTTCGGTGCCATCTAATCTACGAGATTAATAATTAATATCCACAATGTCGTGCTGGGCCTTCATCTCCATCTAGTCCAGGTGATTCGGGACCACTTCGTTGTAACTTTCTTTATAATTTTTCGATTCTTAAATGTGACTCTGATCTAATCAAACTTCTATATTGTGCTGGGTGAACTTCCAAATATTTCCTTATTTTTATGTATATCGAGGCCATTCACTAGATTCCCAATTTAACCATGCACCATTTAAGATCTTTATACAACAATCTTGTAATATTCGCATTCGATGATAGAACATAGCTGTCTTCAATAAATATTTAGATTTACAGGCAAAGGAAAAGTTGATTGTTACTTCAGATATTAAGTCATATTAATATCAACCTAACTTGAGTAGTACACAGAGTTGAATTAAAAAAATCGTATCATCGGTATTTATAATAACGAAGTATTTATTCTTGGTGCATAAAAACTGGATTAAATGTGCTACAAACTAGTTTTAATTTTATCTTAACATCTCAATTATTTTGTGAAACATGATTTTTTCCGGCTTACTAACTCCAGAAGATTATTATGGTATAATTGATAACATAGAAACGGATAATACCAAAATCCATGGAAGTAACCATACAGTATATTCATGTACATCACTTTTAATGACCCCTTTTATTCCATACTTGACTCGAACAAAGTTCCAGTAAATATAATTCCAATAAAATTACGATTCAAGTTTTCGGATGCACATAAAAAAATCGAATGTTTTAATAGATGCACGGCATAACCCGAAAGTGTCTAGCTAAGGTTTTATTTCTAATGAAGTTTGATGTTATAAGAAACTTGAATATTATAAAATATGAAATGAAAGCAAGGTATAATAAGAGAAGAGACACGATATGAATCAATTAGACGTACTAACGGTATTTGATATGAGTAAAAGCGGTGAGATCAACGATATAATGTGTATGATATTCCCCAAGATGAAATGAGTACGTGAATATCCAGTATAATAAGCGTTACATCAATGACATAATAAAGGTTAGGTTTGGTCATGATAAGATATGTTAGAAGATATGTTTGTAATAAAGGTTCTGTAGTGGTAAAAAGGACGTGATAATGTATGAACTTATTATATCTAAACTTATATTTACATGATAATATTTTGCAATGCGTGGTGTGGAATACAATATTTATACGACGATATGAGGAAGTATAAATTCATTACTGATGTATAATAAAAAATATAAATACAATAAAAAAAGTATGATAAAGTTTAAGTATATTATCTAATAATGTGATATGGTGTAAGATTAAAGTGTCGATTAATATGACTAACGATATGCTATAGGATTATATGATATGATATAATCTAAGATAAATTTATTTGATAATTATAAAAATATAACAATCAAACGTAATGTCATATGATATACAGTATGACACAATTAGATATAGTAAGATTCGAATGAGTAGCCCTCGTATTATTCTTCATCACCATTATAACAGAGTGTCACTTCATCTATCGTTTCATAACAATTACGTCAGTAGTCCGATCAGGAACTCCGATCAGACATACATCTGTTTACATCACCAAGTGCTTTAGTGCCTTTCTACAACTGTCAACTAAAGTAGACACTGATACTGCTATTCCTTAGTCACCCTATCAAAACAGATTTATGCCCAAGAAAACGTCACATCTCAGTCATCTAAATTCAGCGCATTAATAGTGATGTAACTATTCTTGCCGCAATTGCCATTGATTGGATGTCTTTACAATCACATTGACAACGCTGGGCNGATTACAATAACCAATCTCCTTTTTTATTTACCAAGCAAAAACATTGCTAGTTCGACAAACCACTTTTCTTCTCTTTATAGCAAGAAGGCCTCACAAAGTTTAATAGGGCCTCAATAGTACACCTTATTATAATTGGCACATCCCGTGTTAGGATCTTCGTCATCTGGGTGCAGTTGTAATCTTTTCAATATCATTACTCTTTCATGTGAGTTTGTAATCTATTTCTTATAAGACCTTCAAGAAACATTCCTCCTGTATTAATTAAACAGACTTGTTTGTAAATGTCGTTGCTTTTCCGTAATTTCACAATCAGAACGAAGTTACCCAGATGCCATTTGGTTCAGAACTCTCCTCTAAGCACTCTTAGGGCCGGTTGTACCATCCTCTTGATAAACTATCTAAAGGATAATTACCATGGTTACAGCAGTTTTAAGCGCTCTCATTGGCTAAGTGCGCCAATTTATCTATCGGATAAATTTATCAAGAGGTGGTACAACCGGCCCTTAGTCAATTCTTTTTTTATTGCTTCAGTATACAACATTCTTCAATGAGACTATACCTTTCCACTACACTCAAAAGTATATGATTCATCATTGCATAGTTTTAGACGCTAACATAAGCTGATATGTTTCATTTTCCTTTCATTTTTTATCCATGGATTTTAATAACATGGATAATGTTATTTTATTAAGTTTCTTCATCCTCTTACTTTCTTTGGCCTCCTACTTGACTACCATCTTTTGCTCTACCATTTCTTAGCTGACCTAAATCTGGTTCCTCTAAAGCCTTGTTTTCGTAAGGACACAACATGTCGGCCGACTTGTCGGTTATAACGTAAACGAAATGCATTTCTTGTTGGGACAGTAAAATGATATGTCGGTGTCGGATACAAAAATCAACCGCACATGTCGGGTCACCGTTCATTTGTCCCTACGTAAACAGTCGTTAATTTGTGTTGTGATCATATATTATGTTGGGAATCCATGTTGCAAGTCATTTCAATAAAATAAAAAGTTCTGTATGCACCTTCGAAACGTCTTTTCGCTAAAAAGCTTCTAATATATCACCTTTTACGTTTTCGAAGTGAATTCTTTTGTGGTTTTAATAACTTTATTGCAAGACTTCCTGCCAACACCACGAAAGCTGACACTACTTGTTCGACTTGATCGTCTGCCATCTTGATGCTAACTGCACAGTTCGATTTTCAGATCGTTTCTACGACATGTTGGTTGCCGACAAGTAACTACGTAAACACACGTTAATTTTGACAACTTGTCGCCCAATAATCATGTCGGGCCAGATTTGTCCTTACGAAAACGTACCTTAAGTAATGATTCTGATAGTAATTTACGTCAAACTGGAAAATTGCTGTCACTCTAATAATCCGACACTTGCGTCTGACGTTTATTTTTTTAACGAGCCATGATTGACAGTCTTATAACGAATTGAATTCCTAAGTAATCGATTTTGTTTGACAAATTTGTGACGTTTATAACAAAAAATTATTGATTTCTTTCAGTCATTTTTATTTTTTACTAAAAAATATAACTAAAAATATCTTTCTCCTTCCTTGTTTAAATATCTTTCTTTGTTCGGTATAGATTCATCTCATAATTTTAATTGTAAGACTGCATCAAACCAATCTATGAAACCTAGACATTTTACTTAAATAAGATTTCATTACCAAAGCCAATCAATTTAATTACTTGTGTGGTGTAACTAATTATAACTAATTATCAACGTGATGAAAGATATAAGGAGTTTTAATAATACTTAAAATCGTTGCATGCATGCATTATAACCATGTTCAAAAAATGTTTAGATGGCCCTTCAGCAACTAAGAAGTTAAGTAATCAGCGTTATCTTTAAGCTGATTCCATTCTGCCCCTGTACCAAAAATCTCAATTGTAATTGGATATAATAATATTAAATATAATATATTAATATATTAAAATGGTTATTCCTAGGTGATACAGCTATAACGGTGGTGACGAGTAAATAAATGGTAAATAAACAATAAAAACCAAATACAAAAACAGTATAAAAAACAATTCGAATAAAACAAAAGTTAAGTAAAAGTGTTAGTCAGTTCAGAGACTGCTAGGCAGATATGTGCTCTGATATATCATCAAGGGAGTCCATAAGTCAATTGCAAAATAGTTTGTATCACTCTCAAACGGCTATAGCTTTTTAGACAGATTTTTGATGTAGGCCGAATAATCGTACTACTAAAACCCCCAAGCCTCACTGATGACCCTGTAAAATAGACACTTATTACGATGTAACTTATCGACTGTCTACAAATTGATTATTTCTGCTTAACTGGGAGGTTCTGCCTAGATCCCAGGAGACAACAACTTACTGAACGATGCAAACAAACAAGCGTAGAACCTTTGTTCTTCGTTAATTCTCCTTCGATACTGAGCACCTCATTCCCAAACTCTTCATCTGTTTATTAATTACGAGAACCATCAGAAATTTCTGCTATACTGCGCTAATAGATGCAAAATGAGATAGAAAATGAATAAATACCTAGGAAATTTGTTGTACATGATGTAAAATAACCCATAACCAGTTTTTGATTACCTATAAATATTTGCCCTCGCAAATAATAAGCACAAATTCTCAAAATGTTCAAATGGACGGCTCAAAAACTGTAACCAATGACGAAAAATGTCACAAATAGAAATTGTTCATATTGAACCAAATTCGGCGAAATAAGGCGAAAACCATCGACATGTCAAAGAGATGGATTACAGTAAAGTAATCTAATACTAAAATCAAAACCTATTATCAATAGCGAAACATATTCCTTACAAAAATTTAAATCTATAACCATTTCTATCCTAGGTAAATAATATTCCCTTGGAATAAATTACAGTAAAGAAATTTAATACTCAAAATTAGAGAAAAATTGTATATATTTCATTAAAAAGCGTTAATCATTAATTCCTAATACATAATAAACTATTAGGAACTATATATTTATTATCTCGTCATGAATTTGTTATCTCAATCAGTTTAACAACAATTCTAAATATATGGAATTCTGCAAAATTAAGTCATATCTTTTTTATATTATTTGTTAAGTTCAAAGAGGCGTTGTAAAAAACATGCAATTTATACTTGTAAAGAGACTTGAATCGTTAATTTGTTTGAGATATATTGTTCTTTTACGAAAAAAGTAAGAATAATTCTTTATCTGCCTACTTAAGTATGTATGTCCTTAACTTGATGAATACCTTTCAGAGATAATTTGAATCATTAATATACGCAACATGTTCTGTTATGCAACGAGTTTATATTTTTCTGCTTACTTGAAGATTCTTTGCAACTCTAGAACCAATCATTAAATCTATTTTTATACAAATACAAGAAATAGTTTTTATTGCTTTAAAATTCTTTGCAACCATTCATATCAAATCTATTCATATCCGTTTCGTAAAAATGTTCATTAAATGTATAAAAAAATTTTAAAATTGTTTTTAAAATATTAATTTAAATTTTTTTATTGTAGTTACGAAACCTCAAATAGTATTAAGGCGGAAGAAACTGGAACGGTGAAGAAAACAAATAACGCCGAAAATCCTGAAGTAATAGTTGCCCAAGGTAGTTATTCCTACACGGATCCGGAAGGAAATCACATAGAAGTTGTTTATACTGCGGATGATGAAGGCGGATTCCAACCGCAAGGAGCACACTTTCCAACCCCACCTCCAATTCCGCCTCTAATCCAAAAAGGATTGGATTACATTGCGGCTCATCCCTCAAAAGATAGCCAGCCTTAAAAAAGGATAACCGAACAAGACAATATAAGACGATTTTATCGAAGTGATATAAGCTTTTTTTCAATACGGTGATGATTAATTCTTTTTTTAAGATCTCGATCTTTATTTCGACTTCTTTTAATCTAGACTTTTAAATCTTGATTGTTAAATCTTGAATACTAAAATCGTGATTAATTTAAATCTTGATTAATTTTAATCTGGATTTTTGAGTTATCTCGATTTAAATTCTTTTCTTTATTGGGTATGGATAGATAACCTAACGTGTAAATAATACTTTTCTTATTGTATACTTGTATATATTTGATACGTAGTTTTTAAAATCGAAGAGGAATTCGTCGATTAATGCCTTTTGTAAATGATTTATATCTGAAAACAATCTTAGCTATTTATTATATTTAGTGAAACGTAAAAGCTTCGAAATCATCATCATCACTTTTAATCGACGGTTCTTTCGTAACTTCTTTAATGTGCCACACAATTCCGGAAACGACTGCTATGTACAAATGACTTTGAGTCTTGGTTCTGTGACGATTATAATTTTTGTAATCAATTTTATCTTTCTGTGTATATTTTTTTGTGTTGTATATGTTGTAATAAATAATTAAATTGAGCTTGAATACCAAGTCATTGTGAATTTTTATTGTATCATAACATTATAATTAATGTCCTTTCTAAAACTGAAACGTTATATTTTAATAAATTATTTTACCAAATTTAAAAATAATAAATGTTAATTCTATACTTCGAATATGTGGAATTTAGATGTGTTTTTGTGACATCGATTATATCAACAGAAGAAAACGAAACAACTTAGAATTTAAGTTATAATCGAAATTGAACGGTAAAAAATTAATGGGAAATTTAACAATTGTTTTAATAGTTTAGTCATTTCCTTTACAATCGTTTTGTATAATAAAACCGATCGTTACTTTTACTCTTTACGCACACAGTGTAATTCTTTAAAACTTGTGTCATGAATGTTTAAAATGCGTCTGCATAATATACCTGTTTGAAAAACTTTTCTATCGGTAAAAGAAAACTATAAAAAAAATAAACTATCATTTTACATAACTTTGGGAATGTAATAAGTGATATTAATTAAGTTTTCTTTTATTTGTTGAAATCTTTAAAAAGAAATATAACCACATTCGAAAATTCGGAAGCATCAAAGTAGCGAAATACAGAGCTTAAATCTAAACTAGTAAAGCCAAGCTCAAATACACAGATATAAAAAAAGTGTGAAGCCTTTACGTGAGAAAAACTGATAACTAACATAAAAATGCTGATGCCAACATTATTATAAATAATAACATAAAAATAGAAGTAGAGAAGTTAAGAAAAGATAGCAACGCCCTCCAGCGTAAAGTTGCAAAACTATACATAAATGTAGAAACAAAATTTTCTACTCTATCCGCAATAAATCGAAAGAATTCTTTCTTTGATAACATCGATATTACTAAGAAACGATTCGAACGAGAAAATGATTATTATAGGTAAAACCGCTAACTAAAGAATAAAAACTAAAATCAAAAACTATCTACTATATTAACTACGATGTCGTCAACGATTATTACGTTCTTATTCCTACGCGGGGGGAGCCTGTGACACTTAGGCATCGCACAAGGGTGAATTTTTTAAATATCTCGGCCAAAATTGGAAAAATTTAAGGAATAAGATTGAAAATGCAATTATTGTTATTTGATTAAGTATAAATCAAGGTGTCTTGAAGCACCTTCTTTATAATTATTGTAACAAGCGCCGCCAAAATATTTTAGTTGTCAATTGATTGTTTAGTAAACAAGTTATTATATTTTATTATAGGATCCAAGCAAAATTACATTTCACTAAAAAGATGTGAGATTGTAAAATGATTACAAGATTATAACTCAAGGAATTTTAACAGAAAGTTAGATTATTTGAAAAATAAACTAAAATTTACTCTAAATCATAATGAATTATCTGCAGAAACTCAGACTAACACAAAAAACTTTTTAACACACTACACACAGAAATGGTCAGCATCATCAAGAAATTCAACATTTCACAATAAATATTCGTTGTGGCTAACTTCAGATATACAATTTTCTGGTAGGTCAAATACACATCTGATTCCTTTAAAGTTACTTACCCTACATATTCATCATGTGTAATTTAAATATTTAATAATGTTACTTTAAGATAACAACATATTTGTAATCACATTAAATATTACTTTAAGGTTTTCGTATATAATAATTATGTGGAGCAACTTTATTGGGTTTGTCCTGTTGTTGCTCCCCGATATCAATAAATAAATAAATATAAAATATAACATCATAAAGTAATATTTTTTTNTTGTTTAGTAAACAAGTTATTATATTTTATTATAAGATCCAAGCAAAATTACATTTCACTAAAAAGATGTGAGATTGTAAAATGGTTACAAGATTGTAACCCAAAGAATTTTAAGAGAAAGTTAGATTATTTGAAAAATAAACTAAAATTTACTCTAAATTATAATGAATTATCGGCAGAAACTGAAATTGTCAGCATCACCAAGAAATTCAACATTTCACAATAAAAATTCGTTGTGGCTATCTTCAGATATACAATTTTCTGGTAGGGTAAACGCACCAGTGTTTGACCTGTTAAGTATTTTTTAATGTTTTTACTGCCTTTACATAAAACGATCAAAATATGATCAAATACACATATGATTCATTTAAAGTTACTTACCCTACATATAAAATATAACATCATGAAGTAATATTTTTTTAAAATTAATAAGGAAAACAATGTTTCGCATTTAATGTTTGACCACTTTGATTACATTATTTGACCAATAATATCTAGTCTTTGACCTTAAAACCGTAAATGTTTGACCGATTCTTAATATAATGTTCATTTTCATTATTTTTCCATACTATTTTGTTCACAAAACGATGTTTATATTTTTTGACTCTTTAAGAATATCTTTTAAAACAGGAGCAAAATGTTCTTGACTTAACTTTTCTCCCAAATTTTGTGTTTTCCAACTGTGTTTTGTAACAGGAAAACCCCTATCTAGTGAATGAAACAACCATTGAACCAGTAGTTTTTCTTCATCAGAATTTAAAAATGCTGGTAGGCCCATTTTCCTCTGCATTGGTGTTTTTCCTTTTTCTTTATAAATAAGAGTTGACTTTGGTACATTAAACATCTTGGCTGCTTTTTCATAAGATAAAACCCTACTTCTTGCATTGAGAGAATTCTTTAGAAGATCTTCTTTTAGGCATTTAAATTTAGGCTTCGTTGTCACATTGGTATTGAAAAAAGTTAACCTGATTCATATTTGCTAAGTTTTCCATATAATTTTCCTTTTTTTTTTGATAATTGACCACTATAAGAGTCAGTGTTTGACCAACCTTTAATCCTTTTAATTTTAACGTCTCATTACTGCTTAAGTGCGTCGAATTATTTTTATTGTTATAAAAAGGTTTAAAAAAATAGAAAAGAATGAAACATTTACACTTATATTTATATTAGGCTTAAATATTTATAAAATTTAAAATCAGTTAAAAAACTCAGTGTTTGACCTGTTTATGTCCTATAAATGACCAAAAGAAGAACCAGTAATTGATCGCATATTTAAACTGATTGTATATTACTTTTAAAGTATAAAAGTTTTGGTCAAATACTGAACAACTAAAAGATGGTAGTAATGGACCTTAAACGGGAAGATATAAGTTTTAAAAACAGGTATTACACATTTTTCCATTTTATTCATCAAATATAAATCCTTGTGAGATTATAAAGCAGTCAATTCGTCTAGTATTTAACCGTTTGGCAAAGATAACCAAAAAAGTTGCAAGTAATAAGAAGCGTATCCAAGAACTATTTATTATATTTTATATCCGGAAAGATCTGAGAAACCAGAACACCCAGTTGGTTCTCCAAACAATCGCCGACAATACCAATATACGAGTCCTACAACCCAGGATGACTTGAAGAAAAACATATATTTCCAAGATGAAAGAGTGGTGACCCAATTTCCGGAAAAACTAAAAGTGATAAACAATTTTTTATGCTAAATTATATGGGTTAACATAAACTTAAAATCGACGTGTTTCGGCTCATGATAGTTACTTATGACGCACACTGTAGTGCCCTTCTGTTGCCAATCGGGAACATTATCGTGTGGTGCGCAACTGTTGTAATCATCGATGCAAAAACGCTAAAAGATTGCACCACTGTCACAGGTTGTCTGGAGCCACTCATAAGACATTTTTGAAAATTATGCGATCACTTGGTGTTATAGAGTCTCCCATAGATCTACCCACTCTTGATGCTGCTGCTCTAGCCGAGTATTTTGCGGATCCTTCTGTGGTGATTGTAACATAACTAGGCAGAATACTATTAATGAAATCCTTGCATCGACCAACGTGCTTTCCTTTTCATTTTGATTGGTTACAGATGCTGAGGTCCAGGATACTTTAACTTACTCCAAGTCCCCTAATGTCGGAGCAGATGGTATTGGACACAGATTCCTTTTACCCATTCTGGATATAGTTATTACTCCCCTACCACATATTTAGCTTATTTACATATTCAGAAATATCTTGAGGAGTTTAATCTGATTAACAAGTTCCTGTCTGGTTTTCGTGAAGGGCATGGTACTACTACAGCACTGATTCAGATTACCGATGATATTAGATCTGCTTGTGATAAGCGTTGTGTTACGTTGCTAGTGTTACTTGATTTTAGTAAGGCCTTTGATTATATGGACCATGCCCTCCTGTTAACTAGGCTTTCTGCTATTGGTTTTACCTCTTCCTGTGTATCTTGGTTCCAGTCCTACCTTTTCTATCGGTCTATACGTGTCCGCGTGGAATCTGTACTCTCTTCTCCTGTTGACATCAAATGTGGAGTTCCCCAGGGCAGTGTGCTGGGTCCTTTGCTCTTCTCAATTTTCATAAATAGTATTAGTGATGGTATCTCGTGTAACTATCATTTGTATGCAGATAACCTTCAACTTTATATTTCATTAACTGTTAATAACCTCCCAGATACGTTTTTGCATTTTAATAACGATCTCTCTAGCGCGCTTGACTGGTCTAGACGTCATGGACTTAACTTAAATCCAAGTAAAACGCAAGCCATTCCATTTGGCATTCGCCCCTTGCTGGCACAATTTAATTCCTTAACTACTCTTCAACTGAGACTTGGCGACACCGTTATTCCTTCTTCGAATACGGTCAAAAATCTTGGTGTGGTAATGGATTCGGCGATGTCTTGGCGGCCACAAGTTCAGGGAGTCTGTAAGAGAGTTTACTTCTGTTTCCATACTTTGAAAAAACTTGGCTGCTACCTTCCTTCTTTTGTACGTCGTAATCTCTCATTTTCCCACACAGTGTAGCCCTTCGGGGTAAATTGGAAAGACTTCAGAACAATTCTATACGGTACATTTTTGATTTAGGGATGTTTCAGCACATTACCCCATATCGTAGCAACCTGCAGATGATGACTTGCCACAGTCGTAGATCATTTCGTATGCTTACTATGTTGTACAAAATTGTCCATACCCGCACTCCTGCTTATTTGTCCGATGCCTTACACTTTTTAGCATCACATGACTAGCCCACTCAATTAATGTCGGACTCTACGCTCATGTTTCCAGTCCATAGTACTGAAATCTACCACAAATCTTTTACAGTGCAGTCGATTGCGTTGTGGAACAATTTGCCTGCCGTTGTTCGCAATGCAGCTAGTTTAATAAGTTTTAAAAATGCCATCTGCTATCTCTTCAACGATCTTCTTCTTGACCTATACGTGTTTGTTTTCTTCTCTAGTCTGCCTTTCATCTATCTTTTACTGCACTTTTTTGTGTCTATTTTCTTCCTTGTAGTAACTGACTGTCGATTCGTTACATAACTCAAATATGCTCATTCGCTCAGTCCTATTAGCACATCATTTAGTATTACTTTTTTGGTAGCCATAATTACATATTCATTTAAAATTACATATACATTGTTACCAGTTGGGTCTCTTGAAAAATATCGCTTATTGTGATAAATTGATCCGTTTGCCTTGATGTGTCTATATTTGTTATGAATGTATACAGGGTGATTCAAAAAACCGCTGACAGACTTCTAGAGTAGATAATACATGAAAAATTAAGATGAATAGTCTTAATATACATGGGGTCGCAAATGCCTCATTCGCGAGATATAGCGGATCAAAGTTTCTTTAAAATTAAACATTACCTGCTATAAAAAGCACTTTTTAAAAATATTGTCTACGCCATTGCTCTCTACGCGTGTAAAGTGATCAATTATCTATCAATTGGTCTCTTAAAAAACTTGGATCAAAGCAATAGATTTTAAGAAAAAGACGTTTGTAGAAAATTTGTTAATTCAATCAAAAATCGTTGCTTTAATCAAAGTTTTGTAAGAGACCAATTGATAGATAATTGATCACTTAACCCGAAAATACTACCCGTTTGACAAAATTAGCAGTGGAATTGAAACTATTTTCAGAAATGGGTTTTTTATTGCAGATAATGTTTAATTTTAAAGAAATTATATTAAAATTATAACGCTATATCTCGTTAAGGAGGCATTTGCAACCCCATGTATATTAAGACTTTTCATCTTAATTTTTGATGTATTACCTGCCCTAGAAGTCTGTCAGGGGGTTTTTAAATCACCCTGTATATTTATGTAAATATTTGTTTTTGAGGCAATAAACATTATTATTATTATTATTAGTGTAGTGAGACGACCTAATCACTCAAAAACCATCAACTTAATCGAAAGAAGTTTCAAATAAATCTTTAAATATATGGCGGGGGAAATTATTATGTATGGTTTTCATTGTGTTTTAGAAGTATTTTAGGATTGGTGAAAAAAATTAAAATGATTTTCGTTTATGAAGAAGCAGCCAGAGGTTGCAGGAGACACTTTAATTGGTCCTTTTTTAATTGATGGTACATTAAATACAGAAAAATTTACAAATTCTCTGATACACGAACTACCAGTAATATCCAGAAATATGGAACTTTTTTTATCTCATCGAATTCGTTAGGATGGGAAGCAAGCGCCATGTTACAGCGCAAATGAACACAATTTTTTTTGCTCTCCAACGTTCTGTTTCGTTAATCAAACGGATGATAATCTTCATTTATAATTATGTTCCAATAATATATCATTTATTTAGTTTAAAAGGATTGTAAAAAATGAAAATGTCGTTAATTTGGGTATGGTTATAAAAAATTCAATGAAAGTCATACTTAAATCAATGTATTATTACCTAATAGGTCAAGGAAAATGACTCTATTCTAAACAAACATAACTTTTCAGATAAAGAACAAAATGTTAATTAAACATAATGAAGACTAATTTTAATTTACATCATTAACAATTAACGTCTTCCTTCCTGGCGGAAGACCATGAATAAAAAATGCAGTCATAAATTATACTAAAAAATATAGGTTATTCGTTTTTTTTGTAAGTTTCCATATCATGTTTACATAGACAAAAATGTACAATGATGTACACGATGAAAGGTTAAATTACTTAACACGGTGTTCGCTCTAGCACACACATTTTTTGGGATATAAATACCCATATATTCTGTAGAACAAATCATCAGTTCATCAACTGGATTTCAAGCACAAACCAGCACTTATTACAAAAAAGCTTTTAAGAAAAATGGCGTTTAATCTTGTATTGTTATTATCAACAGTAGTCGCAATTTCCTTTGGTTACCCAGCAGCCGATTCGGCCCCATCTCAAACACCAGTTCCGATCGTTAATCAAAGCAGTGATTTCAATTTAAACGGAAATTTCACTTACTCGTATGAAACCGGAGATGGAGTCAAATTACAACAAACTGGTTTTGTTAAACCGATTCCACCAGGGGAAAGAAAAACTGTCGATGGAGAGAAAGAAGCAGCCGCCGAAGCTCTAGTTATCAACGGATCCTATTCTTATACTGCTCCAGATGGCACAGCTGTCCAATTAGAGTAAGTAAATAATAACATTTAATGAAATGTATAAAAACAGAGCTGCTAAATTACAAATCTAAATTGTTTCGTTTATTAATTAAATTTTGTGATAGATATAGTCGAGTATTGTAATTTATAACTAAACTATTTCATTAATATTTTCTAGATACACTGCCGATCAGAGTGGTTTTCATCCACAAGGATCTCACTTACCAACACCTCCTCCAGTACCAAAAGAGATTCAAGAGTTATTGAAATCGTTGGTACCTTCAACAGCTACTCCCGGAGATGCCAAATAAATTTATAATGGTGTTGACATAATTATTTTTTTGTAACTGTATATATAATAATTATTTTATTAAATTTAAGGTTTAATTAAGTTTTGGTTTTCTAACTTTACCTATTTGACCTACTATTAACTGCAAATGCAATACTTTTCACATTGTCATTTGCTGATGTTTTATAGTTGATGGGTGGATTGTGGAAATTGGTACATATACAGGGTGTAACCTGGATATAAAGATTTTCCAAAATTCTCCTACACGGAATTAAATGAGTTTCTACACGGCATATCCAACATATCAGAAATCATTCTTAATACTCAAAAGTAATTTCATACAATTTTTTTAAATTGGATCACACCTGAAAAATTAGGAAGGCGTTGCTTGTTAGCTCGCTGGATCCCTCAGAGTGTAGTCGTTCTTCTGGAGTAGGTCTTCTAGAAATCTTTCTTCTATCTTTATATTTTTTCGTCGCATATCCTTTCCGTTCGCTGAAACAAGTCTTCGATCACTTCGATCTCTTCTGTTGTGGACGGTGATCGGACGAAGGCACTCTCAGTTCCATGCTCCCATTTGTTTTCCTAGTGACCAAAACATCCAGGACGTAGACTAAAAAAGCAACTGCTCCGCAGCTTCCGTTTCCATAATAAAATAGAGTGTTGCTAGATCAAGTGGTCTAGGAGCTAGTAACTAGTGGAGACAGTCTTTTCCATACTGTCAGATCACAAAGCTGTCATCCACGTAACGAAGCTATATATAAATAATATTAATTTAGAATGTGTTCATCGAGCTTGTAACCTTTATGTTTATTAATTAAACCTAATGAAGTTTTATATTATATTTGAGATAGGGTAGAAGGAAGTGGGAAAGGAAAATCTGTGGAATAGTAATCAGGATCATAATTAACAACGTTACTTATGATTTGATAGAACGGTCATCTTAATTACATATATCAGTACATTCACTAAAGGGTTACAAGTTAAACAAAGTTAAACAGATACAAGTTATTTTAATGTTTCTGTGTTTTATACCGAAATAAACTTACTTGAGAATCAAGAACTTTTCGAACTGAATAATAAACAACAACAAATTTAGTAATAATTAATTTTTTTTAATAATCTTTAATAATTTAACTTTATTTGGAGTTAATTAATAACATTTGAGAAATAATACTAGAGAAGAACATTACGAACGAAGTTTAACACGGTTCAGTTTTACAATAAATGTTCGTCTTTTTCTTTTTAACAAAACCCGAAAATTCTTGAACTTGTACACAAGAAAGAAACTCGTCTAGAGAGGGAACACAATACAAGAAAACTGAATATGAATTACTATTATTATTTTCTTTTAATAAAGATAGACTTAAAATTAACATTCTGAATTAATTTTTTTGACTTTTGTTTCAATGCTATTAACCAGGTTCTTTCAATGAGCAAAAGAAATCATATGTTTGATTGCTGAAGTGAGTTTCAGATATTTAGCATACGTCAATCTTAGTAATGTTATGTTGCAAGACTCCTTTAGTATTAGATAATATTATTTTAAGATTATTAGCCATTTTTTGCTATGGAAAGCTTTTGTATTGCTATGTTCAAGTCTATTTAATCACTCCTCAAGATTTTTTAATATTCGTTTTTGTTCATTTAGCTGTGATAAAATGAGTTGTAAGATTACTACTCTACTGACATATTTTCCTGAGCTATTTTTTCCTCGTTCTGATTACTGTTTGAATTATCTTTAGTTATTGTTAGTATTAAATAATTCGATATTTAGGTGCTTCTATGTTGATTGTTTCATGCTGGATAAACTGCTGTGCTTGGTAACATTTAATCTCATATTGATCTACAGTTTTCCTACCAGTTTTTCTTAATGTAACTGGCTTCCCTTCTTTCGCAATTTTGCAATTCTTCGCTTGCTGGTTTATTTAATAATATTCTCATTGTGTCATCTGTTTCTGATGTCTTCGTTTCGTTCTCTGTCTCTTAAAGTATACACGATTATGGCTCTTTTCCCATTTCAGTAGTCCTTAAAAGCTCATGTCACTCAATGACATCCGTCTTCGGATATTAAGGTGGCGGCGTCAGCGTAACAGATTATTTTGATTTGTTTGTTTCCCATTCTGTATCCATCACCAGCTTGATATTTTTGTTTGTTGAATTCCATGATGTCGTTGCATAATATGGGACTGAATCTGTAACTATGTCTTATACCCGACAGTACTGGTATTTTGTTAGTCCGTTAGCCGATTTAATGTATGAGTTATAAGCCGAGAACAAAGGAAATATAAAAGAAATGATCAGCAGATTCTTTTGTAATCGCCGTAATACATTAATGCGCTCAACTAGAGATAATTCAGTCTAGTATCAATATTCATTGTATTAGATTCAGTGTCTTTTTGTAATCAAGTTTAAAATAAATAAGTTTTTAACTTTTTAAAAATAGTTTCACTATAACGAAAAAGTTAACTTATGTTATGTCGTTGCAGTTCAATTTTTTGATGATTTTTAGAATGTATTTTTTTTCATTCTACTGAGGACATTGTAGTTGCCCGCATGTAGTCGTCTATTGGTTTCTTGCGGTTCCTTAATATTTTCCATACCGTTTTCTGTCGTTCATTAAGGTCATTTTCATACCTACGTTGAATTTCTCTCAGTAGTTTCATATTATTGTTTGAATATTTGCATTTACCTTGTTTCTCACATTTTTATGTTGAACGCTTCTTCAGCAACTCTTGTTATTATATTTAATTGTAATCAGTTACATGCTGTGTCCACATCATCTTCATTACTTATTGCATTTTCGAATATTACCTATGCTAATTTATCGATTTTTTCCGGCTCCTTTCCTTTTTTGTAAATAATCTTTAACTTATTACTTATGTTAATTTATTAAATTATTATACTATGATTTACAAAAGACTGGATAAGAACGCATAACTTTATTGTTATCCCACTACTTGTTACCTAAAATGTAAAATAACAAAGATAAGTTGTTCTTAGAATTTTAACACCACTTGCTGTTTATGCAAACATATCGCACCGCGGCAAGAACAGTGACATAACTCAAAAATGCAGTATTTGGGAAATAACAAATAAGAGAAAACCATAAAACTTAAATTGCAATAGTATAAGTTTCTGTTAAATTTCAGGTAAGTATTTTTGGCAGTAAATTCTATTATATTCTAAAGAATAATATTAAGGATATGTAAATCAACTTTTGTTGGATTTTGTGGTGTTACCAGGTCAAAACAGGTGAGGTGTCTGAGTTATGTCACTTTTCTTCCTTCTCCAAAATCTTTTTTTTTTGTTGTGACCTATCTATCAAGTATCACTTATGTCACATTTCAAACCTAAATTATAATATTTATTTAGCTTAATTAACCTCAGATTAGACTACTTATAATAAAAAAATAAGAAATTAACTGTTTTATTAGCTTATTTAAACTACAAATATTTAATGAACGTAAAGTAATTAGTAAACAATTTACATAAACATCGATTCATAAATGGGCTTATACAATGTAGGAATACATTTTGTCGAGATAAGGTATTTAATATGAGCCTGCTTTGTAGCAGAGATTTCAATTTTTTTTTGTATGCCGAAACGTATTTTATTGTAGAGATGCTCTCTTGCCTTCTCCTGGTTTTATTATTTACATTGATTTGCGCATATTCTTTTTGTTTGTACGTAGTTTTCACAAAAAGAATGCCGGGGTCAGTCTTCTGCACTTTAATTACTTTTATGTCGGATATTTTTATCTGTTCGTTGTTTGATGTTTTGCTGTAGTTTGACCCTACCTGTTGAGAGAGCTGTTTCAAATCTACAAAATCCTCATAACCCAATTCTGTTACTTTATACGGATTTCCTGTTTTTCTCGCAGACCGAATTAATCTGACATAATCTGTGGGAATATAGATGTTGCCCGATTTCAGAGCTCGTTTAATTGACTTCTCTATGACAGAATGCACATTGTCCCCTTCATTTTGTGTGTGACCCCTGATAAGAAATTTGTGTGTGATCGATTTGATTTTCAATTGTTGCACAGCGTACAGGTACATTGCCATTATAAATTTGTTCTTTTGCTGGCCGCAACAATTATCCGAGTAGAGTACAATTTCAAGGTTATCGTCGTTTTTAGTGTTAGCTTTTTCTTCTAAGTATTTCAGAACGCTAGAGCCGATTTCTATGGCACCCCGATTTCCTTGACCTTCATGCCAAAAAAAGCACTTGACGTAATCTGACTGAAGTTCGTTTACAGTTAAGTTGTAGCTGTTGATTTTGCTTTTATAATAAAAGGCATTCGTATCCCCTTTTGGTGCTGGGAGCACAGCTTGAAGATCATAAGTGGCGACTATAATTTTTCCTTCGCTTTCTTTTGCTTTCTTTTTATCCTCTTCTTTCTCTGCTCTTGACAAAACTTTCTCCTTTAAATGTTTATCGTATTTTTCTTGTATCGCTTTTTTTTCTTCTTTACTTGAGTTGTTATAGGAGCTGCATAATTCGCATTGATCCTTTTTTGGGGTAAAAAAAGAGATGTTAAAATTGCTGTTAAAAATTCGGGAATACATCGTGAGATTTGCAAATGGAAGGTTTTTTTCCCTGCGCTCGTTTTTGTAGTCGCGGTGTAAATCAGCCAAGCTTTTCCCACCTTCTATAAACCCCCAGTAGTTTGCGCGCGCAGATAATGACTGTCAATTCTTGGGATTGTATTAATATGAGCAATGACACTATCTTTTATTGCGGCATCTATTTTAGAGTGATGTCCGTGTTTTCCTCTGAGATCTTCTTGAAGAAATCCTTCGTTTAATTTGCTTATTACAGTCCTAATAGGTCGGTCATTGATGTCCAGTGTGGCTTTGAAGAAAAATTTGCAAACACGTACGTTTACTTCGTTGATTACGAAATGGAATGCGTGGTTACATTGACGCGTACTTCCTTCTCTTTTGTACTGATACCGAGGTGTAACGGCGGTCATACTTCTACCGATAAATTCTCGCTGGGATTTCAGACTGCCAAGTGACCAGTATTTGTTAAATATTTCGAGCCTTTTATTTTCTTCTATTTTCCTTGAGCATTGTTGTTTGCATTTTTCATTACACGCCGGACGTACCTTTCTTGCCTGCATTTCTGTTTTGCGAATTGATGATGATGTATAAGGTTTCCCAGTATTTCGGAGGAGTTTAGCTTTAGACTTTTTCCACTCAACCAGATTTGCTTTCCTTTTCTTACCTTTTCTCTTGCGATCTGCTTGGGTATTCTCTGCTTTATCCTCTGTCTCGTTAGTGATATTTTCATTCTCTTTCGATCTTGATGACTCCGACGCATTTTCAGAATCAGAAAATGAGGGCATAATATGAAAATGTGATTCTGCTGATTCTTGTTGTGGAACACCTGATTTAACCCGTTGTAACCTCAATCGCATTGTATGCGGATTTTCAGTACGCTGCCATCTAGAGTATTGTATTCTTCTGTCGTTGTTTGTTTTAATTTTCAGACTTTTATTGCTGGAGTTTCTATTAAGCGCTTCCGACCTCCTTTTAAGTCCTTTTTTAATGTCAGCAGTAGCAGCAACAGCTGCCACCATTGCCTACCTCTGTATCCTTGCATAGGTTCCATACCAAGCCTAAAACAAACAAATTTTAAGCTACATTATTAATATTTAGTTCCTAAAGTTCTTTATTTGAAATTACAAAGTTAGGTAAATACAGTGTAAGAAATACATTTAAATCAAGAAAAGTGACCCAACACAAAATACTGATACTTTCAGTCAGGAAAAGTGACACAAGTCGAAATAAAACAGTACAAGAAAAAAGGTTTACAGATAATTTCAAAAAAAGTGACACTTTTTTACTTATGACTATTTTAATAATTATATTCCACTTACCTTGCTCAACGAAAACTGTCACAACTGAAAATATGTCGTTTATCTTGACCGAAACATGCACACTTTCTTGTAGCAACACTAAAGTGACACTGTTCTTGCCATAATAAGTAATGAACTAGACTAAAACAAAACTGACATAACTGCCTTCTGACGGATAAATTGTGAGTTTGAAATGTGACGTTTTTCTGCACGTCGGGGGCACACCAGACCTATTTATTACTGACATAACCTCAAAATTGTCATTTTTTGAATTGTGACACTATTCTCGCCGGGGTGCGATATGGTGAAGGCAGCTGCAGGTGATGATATAACTTGTGTGTCTTTTTTAATTTGCCCTAACTATTATGTTACAATTAGTTCTCGTATTTGCGGAGCTCAATATTCCCACAACTAGAACTTTTAAAGGGTGAACGTTTCTGTTGGTAGACGTTATGCCTATTATGGATTTTTGTCCCCTGGTGTTCCCCATGACACGACATGTAGCCGATACTAGGAGATATCAACGCGAAAATTGGAAAGGAATGCTTAACCTTGTAATCAGCAACACATGCTTCGACTATAAAAGAATTCACAACGAAATTTGGAAAGTACCGGGAAACCAGCGCTGCAGTCAAATAGATCAGGTGCTTGTATTAAAAAGAAGACCTTCCTCTATAACCGACGAAAAGACCAGACGGGCGATAAATTGTGACTCTGAGCACTACCTACTAATGGAATGCTTAAGACAACGCATCAACAATATGCAGATAATGAAAGGACTAATGAACAACAAGTAGAATGTCACCAGGAACTGAATGCTTCTAGAGACAATAACCAAAGAGTCAAGGAGCGAAATATGCTAAAGGATAGAGAATAGATAAAACGCTAATGAGATCAAAGGAAGAAGAAGAAGAAGACTTTTCGAATGTGTACTGTGTTCTAGTTTATGAGAATAGAAGGTATTGTTTATGAACAGTTCATTTTGAGATTCATTAGATCTCTTCTTTTCTCCCAATGTACCTCTTCCGCTTTAGTCTTTACCTCTGTAAATTAATATGTAGTTTTGTGTTTACTATTCCCCTTTCAGTACTTGTTAGTCGCCGAGAGTGCGCTATTCTATTGAGCAATTAGATCAGAATTGTTTGATTTCTGTTGTTATAAAATGTTACGTTCAATATAGAATTATCAGTACTAATAATTACTTCTATTGTCCGAAGCGAATGTTGTTAGTTCTAGTTTTTCTAGTTTACTACTGTTCGCCTTACCAGCGAACTCTTCTACTCTACCCGGGCTTTGTACCGTCAACAGTGGTGTTAGGCTACTCAATCCACCCCTCTTCCGCAATCAAATTATCTTTCAATCAAATTCAAAGATAATTAATAATTAATCATGGCAAATAAAAAAGTATATAAATTCAAACAAATTTATTGAAGAAAAAACAAGAACGTTATCAGAAAATCAACATCTTAAACAGCCATCAATTTATTTGCGCGCTATTGGAGCTGCACTTGAAGGTGGCAACGAATTTAATAAATCTTGAATTTCTTTTGGTACAGGTGGAGGTGTTGGTAAGTGAGATCCTTGAGGATGGAAGCCACTTTCGTCGGCAGTGTATCTAGAAAAATTTAATAGATTAATATATACAAACAATCATTTTTCCAAGTGATATACAATGCTACTTGCATAAACTATTTGAAGAATAGAATTTGAAGATAATGTTATATCTGAACTTACTGTAATTCTATTGCTGTGCCATCTGGAGCAGTATAAGAATAGGATCCGTTGATAACTTGTGCTTCAGCGGCTCCTTCTTTTTCCCCATCGACAGCTTTTCTTTCTCCTGGTGGAATTGGTTTAACAAATCCGGCTTGTTGTAATTTGATTCCATCGCCGGTCTCGTACGAATACGTGAAATTACCGTTTCCATTAAAATCACTATTTTGACTAACGATCGGAACCGGAGTTTGCGAAGGGGCCGAATCCGCCGCTGGATACCCAAGAGAAATTGCGGCCAATGTCGATAATAATAAAATAAGTTTAAAAGCCATTTTCTTTTTAGAAATATTTGTAAAACCAAAAGCAGCTGATTTTTCTTTCAAAGCTAAGAGTTGACGAACTGTTGTGATTTGGTGGAGTGAACATGCGAGTATTTATATCCCAAAAAATTGTTTGCTATGACCGAATACTGTGTTAAGTAATTTAACCTTTCCCAATGGCGAGAATTTTTGTGTAGAGAAGTTGCATTGAAAAAATTTATTTCTTCGCAAACATTGATTACGCTGTATGTAAACTGAGAAAAAACGTTAACCTACATTTTTAGCACTTTGCTCGTCGGCTACAACCCGGAAGGAAGATGAGGATTGAGAAGGTAGTGTAAATTAAAATCATTTATACATCTTAATTGTTTTAATTAACATTTTGTTGATTATTTGTTAAAACAATGTCTTTTTTTATCTAATAAGTTTTCCTTGACCTATTAGGTAATAATTAAATAGATGTAAGCTGTTTATATATTACAAAGTATAAACATTATTAACATTTTTTCATCGATTGTTCATACATTGCGTAAATAAGTTGCAAAATTGTTTGAAGAACTGCTCCATACGCATCGAAATTTTATCAGACAAAACACTGCAGTTAAAGAAAAATAAAGTTAATACAATAAAATAAATTAAAGAGCTATAAATGTAAGCTAGTATACAGGGTAATTCAAATTCGACCCCCACCATTAGGATCTCAGAAACATCATTTTTCAACTAAGTTTATGAATCTAGCCGTTTTAGTTTTTAAAATATGGCCGAAAAACAAAAAATGACTTTTTCGTTTTGCGCCTATAACTTCTTTATTATTCGTTTTCTCGTGAATCTGAAAAAACATTCTTAAGGCAACTTTTTATGAAGAATGTCATGATATAACTAGAAATTTTCTCCGATGTTTCGTTTTCGTGAAACTATCATCAGGTTTATTTTTTCTTATGAACGCCATATTTGATTTTCACACCAAAAAATAGGATAAATAATTCTGATTTCAATGATATGTAGACGAAGACTAATGCTGATTTAAGATGGCTTATACAAAGATTTACATTTTTTTTGGCCATATGTTAAAAACTAACACGGCTAGATTCAAAAACTTAGTTGAAAAATGATGAGCTCTAAGATATGCAACTTTACCCCTATTTAACCATTTTCTATCTCTTATGGTTTCTGAGATCCCAATGGTGGGGGTCGAGTTTGAATTACCCTGTATAAAGAGTCGTAAAATATTTATAATATTATTACTATTTCAATTGGTGAACCAATTGACCGTATTATACTTATATAATATTGCTTCTACTTTGGCATATATGTTTAGCGAGCTCACAAGAGTAAATTTAAAATTAGGTTCACGTCATTTCGATGGTCTAAATAATTAACCTGTTTAGTCCCTTTTGTCTAATTTTATAAGAGAGCAGAAAATGTTACAAAAACTAGAATCTAACACTAGAAACTTTCAGATTATGCCAGGTGACGTGTAACTCTGACCGTTGAAAGTGAAGATAGAAGGAATAGCAAGCTTATTCCACAATGTAAACGATGCTAAAAGAGACGCAATGAGACACGCCTGCCAAGCGTTAACAGTAAAATAGGGCACCCGGCTAGCTACAGAAGATACACAATAAAATAGCAAAATAGCAATGGAACTGCAGAAAATAAGACATAATGCTAAGACCAAGAATGTTACTGCTCAAGGACGACAAACTGTTCCGAATATTATAAAACCTGGCTTATTTTATCTCAGAGCATACAACAGAAACCGGCAAAATCAACCATTCCCATTTATGATGCAGATAATGCAGAGCATGCTGAAGATATTCGATCGAATCAATCACTAATATAAGACACGATAAATTCGAAGCTAGGGTAACGACTCTTTCCTGCCTCAATATTCCTTTCACCCTCTCCTCAAAACGCACCGTTTGCTTAGCCGCCCCCATCCTTATCTTATCTACCTTCATTTCCTCTCTGACTATATATCCTGGAGTCTCCCTGACCAACTCCAACACCCACCTCCAGTACCTGATCTGCACATCCTCTAAGAGCCCTTGCTCCTTCCATCCCCATATCTCCACCCTATCCATACATCATAACGCTTTTTATCAAGCTTTTAAACATTATTTTTCTTTTTTTCACATATTTCCCAAATAACCTCTCGCTGCCAACAATTTAATATACCCGCTTGGCTTGTTGTTCTATTTAAATCTATATCCCAAGCATGTGTACTCCCTCACTTCCTCAATCACCCTCCCCTCTTTTCAGACTTATTGTTAGATGAACGAGTAGGCCAGAGAGTAAAGAAATAATATTTATTTAAACTTAAAGCTTAATTTTGTCTTTTCAATTTGACGGACAAATTGAAGTCATGATTCTAAAATAGTAGTCGACAAAGGGAACCATTAACACCATAATCTGCGATATCACACCGAGGAGATATAACCATAAATCTTTGACATCCAATGGAAGACCTGCAAAAACACAGTAACTGACATTTTTTGATAAATCCGAAAGGGCTAAAAAAAGAACTGCAGATATATTTGGCTACGCGACTATACAAGGTTTCCCAAAACTCCCGGGACGGAGCTATAAGTTTTGAACGCGTGAAGAAAAATATTTGAAAATTTGGGGATCACTAAAGGGTCATAAAAACTACATTCTTAGATAGTTTAGTAATGGACACTTAGTAATGGAAAAAGAAACACAATCCCATAAACCAAAACCCTATATCTTAATTCTTTCAAGAATTATGAGGGATTGACTACCAAATGGGAAAACAAAGTGTTTTCATGTTTTTTTGCATGTTTATTACGATTTTTATAACAAATGTTCAAATTGTCGACCTTCTTCGGTCTCGCAATGACCCAACCGCTCATAAACCATCAGCAGCATATCCCTAGTGATATTGGCGGTTTCTTCAAATATGAGATTTTTCAAATCATTTATTGATTCTGGTTTTGTTGCATAAACTCTACTTTTCAGAAACCCTCAACAGAAAATATCCAATGGTGTTAGGCCACTCAATTTCACCTGTTCAACGATTTGGAAACGTGTGGCTTAAAAAGTCTCTGACTGCGCTACTAAAATGTGGAGGAGCACCATCTTGTTGGAACCACTTATCGTCAATACCATTAGGGCATACGGCACGTACACTTGCAATCACTTGATTTTCTAATAGTTGCAGATATCTGTCTCCGTCTAAATTTTCATTAATAAAAAATGGACCAATTACATTCTCTCCCATAATACCAGCCCATGCAGTAATTTTCTGTGATGTCTGAGTATGATCTTCTCTTATTAAACGTGGATTTTCGTCACTCCAATCACGAGGGAACCACCACTATCACTAGGAATATGCTCCTGATGGTTCAAAATTCCATTTATGAGCGTTTGGGTCATTGCGAGGCCGAAGAAGGTCGACAATTTGAACATTTGATACACCAATCGTAATAAACGTACAAAAAAACATGAAAACATTTTATTTTCCCATTTGGTAGTCAACACCTCATAATTCTTGAAAGAATTAAGATATCGGGTATTGGTTTATGGGGTTGTGTTTCAAAGGTCTAGTGATATCGATAAGCTTTAACTTTATATTTGATAGTTGATTGTAATACATTTGTTGAGGTTACGCTTCGTTGTTGTCAACACGAGCACGGTCTTAGCAGTAAATTAGTCAAATTTCAATTCTTTAGTTACTCAATATATGAGCCTATTAAATTCTGATTTGGGGTTGTTTACGCAATGAAATGTTGGTTACAACACGGTATTCACTCTGCTGAAATTTATCTATAAATTACTTCATATAAAATTTTCGCACCAGTTAAAACATTTCTCTTTTTAATTTCTCCTTTATATTATGTTATTAACAATAACGTGCTTATTATAAAAAAAGAACTAGACGATACATACAATAAACAACGACAATAAGAAATTTTTACCATGGAGGTTCTTTATAACTTTTTATATTTACCACTTTATACGCAGTTTATAAGATACTTATGTATCTGGTCAATACGAATAAAAAACAGTTATAATAACAAAATAATTAATAAACAAAAAAATGTAAATGTAGACCTAAACGTACGCAACCCAAACTACATAATAAAAAATAATTCAAAAACTCATAAACAGTCTAAACATACCCTCTTTGCATACAATAACATTTAACAATTCTCGACCTTATCAAGGTAGGTAAATAATCTTCTTTAATTACCCCTAATTGTCTTAGTCAATTTCTGTCAAATATACTATCATGTCCAAAAATGTTGCTGCACATGATATGTTAGAAATGACTGAAATGAGACACAAGAGATTTATTTTTGTGTCTCAAATTTAAAACACTTTTTGATGTCAGCAACCTTCTAATTTTTTTAAAGTAACTTATTTGCCAGACCAGTCAATTAACATGGCTTTTTCTTATACTGAATAAATTTCACATTACACAACTAAAAGGACCTAACAAAATTACAAAAATTACAAAATAATAAACATAAGTCAAATTGAATGATAAGATTTAACGTATTTTTAATTTAAGTAGATGCCTTGTGGTAGTTTCCTGTCGATGTTCTTTTTTCTGAGGTCATATGGCTGTAGTACTTCCGTGTATTGTACGCGTTCGTGAAACCGGGAAGTCATTGTAGATATAAAGGCATACTGTCAATTTTTAATTCGTTGTATGGTTGATCATTAGAGATATACCACTAGGAGTCTACTGCTATGCGTAATAGTTTGTTTTGTAATACCAGAACCGCCTTCAAATTCGATTTAGCCGAGTTTCCCCAGACAACGCAGGCATAGGTGATGAGTGGTCGAACGAGGGTTTTATAAATTAAGATAGTATTTTCGCATTTAAACCTTGTTCTTCTGTTTAACAAGGGATACAGTTGTTTCAACTTTCCGTAACCTTGATTTACTTTTTGAAGTATATGGTATTTCCAAGTTAATCTCGTGTCCAGGAATATGCCAAGATATTTGACAGGTTTGTCCAAGTCGTTCCATCTAATCGTTTCTCCGTTAATTATTAATTCCGGTGGGCTTTTAATTCGTTTGAGTGTAAA